AAGTAAAAACTGAAGATAAAATCCAAATCGAACATCTGGAAAGAAATCCTACGTCATCGGTAGAGTGGAAATCTATATCTGCTCTGCTTGTCCAAGCTTTAATCCTGGAACTGATGAACACCTGAAAAATAAAGGAGTGGGTCAGGCCCACATGCAAGTCCTATTCTACTATGATCCAAACAGTAATCTGATACACTGATACATCCTAGGAAAACTCAACAATATCTAGAGTAGTCCATAGATATATATATAATACACACTATAGGACGCTCGCTAGTCCAGTAGGTCTGTCTCAGCTTGAATAGAAGGCAGCATGCAAATACGCACCCGAGGGTGGGCATGAGTACCTAGACCTATTAGGGAACAACACCTATGTCTAGTTATCCATTCTAGGCGATATACACGCCTTAACCGTGGTCATGAGACTCAAGCTCATACCACGGCACCATATAATATATATATAAAGTCCGTACTCCTCCTAATACAAAATACCATCCATCTGTGTAGTGGTCTAATATATGTATAACAAATCCATCCTGAAACCATAGTAGGTCATTCAATTCACAATTGATATGACACATATAGGTGATGGACTTAACCTTTATGATTAATCCATACCTTAATCCAAGCTAGGTAGAACTTAGTGTTTGAACTAGTCCATACCTAGTATGTCACCATCCCATACCGGTACATACAATCCTCCAGTGAACACAGTTGACAAAACAATATTAAATAGTCATCAACCACACTCCAGAATATGCACAAGATAAATTTAATGCATGTACATAAATGTTAGACATTCATTATAGAGCCCAAAATCCAAATCCAATAATGTAAACTGCTACAATAAATTTAAGCGATCACATTCACCAACACAGTCCAAGAATTGATACCGCTAATAGGATTTTAAGTATCAATTACATCCAAGCTAAGCATAGGAAATTTTAGTTAATTCCCTATACTTATAATACTATGGAAATATGATTTATATTTATAGTTAAACCATATATAACAATCTTGCTAAGCTTCAGAATATAAACCTAGCAGATCGTCCGACATTGTCCACGAATTGATAAAATTTCATAACAGTTTAAGTACCAATAAACACAATCTAAGTATAGTTGAGTTTAATTAAGTCACCATACTTAGAACACTGTAAGAAAAATATATGATTATATATAATTAGATTATATATAAAACTCTTGCCAAATTCTAGTAAATAAAATTAGCATAATAGTGAGCAAGTTACAAATTTCCTCTTGGGTTTTGCATGCTCTATTCCTCAATCCAATTGTGAATTTATATTTTTCCATCACAATTCCAGCCTTATACAGTCCCATACATCATTTAAACAATTTAAATTAATTGCAGAAACCAAACAGTTTTAAAAAAAAGCCCACGTTACAGTGTATTTCAAGATAGAGCAGGCTCTTAAAATGGGAGCCTGCTCTATTTTCAACCTAAAGCCAGCTCTAGGATCTTAAAGCCGGCTCCATGACACCTAGAGCTGGCTCTCCCCTTTGGGAGCCGGCTCTAAGAGGTTTGGAGCCTTCTCTCCTTCCTCTTAGCAACCCTCGTCCGTTTTAGCTTCAATTGCTTCAATTCCGGTGATTTATAAAACTCTCTGTGATGTTTTTAATGCTTGTTCTAAGCTCTAACTCAGTCCTAGGTTCATCTTAAATCTCTTAGATCCAACCCAACATGTATAGGATCTAATTTTTAAAGCCACGAACACAGAACCTCTGCTAGAAATTTTTAAGCAAGTTTTTACAGATTTAATTCCAATTAATTTTGTGCAATTAAATACTGTTCTATGGACTTGTTTTAGAGTTCAAACTTAGTCCTAGATTAATTATGAGGCATCCAATTATAATACTAAGCTCAATTAGAACAATACTTAATTGTAAACATAGAAGGAACAGATTACAGAATTTCAATGATTATGAAAAACAGTTAATACAATGAGATCAAATAAATTCATATATGCATGGAAGACATGTAATTATGTTTGTTTCAATCCGTTTTAGCCTTTAATAAAACCCTGGAGTCTAACTAGACATGCACAGAACACAAATTAAAGGGAAAGAGAAGAACAGAGACTTGTCTTGAGTTTTAGACTTGAAATTCTAAACCTCCGTCTCGAATTTGTCCGTCAACATCGTCGACTACTATTCTACTCCTCCGGCGCTCTTAGTTCAACACAGAAAGACCCCGTTCAACCTTCCTTGAACCTCCCTGTATATTACTCAAGCTCACTCTCTCTTTATCTGTCTCTATCTCTCATAACTCTCTGTAACGTGAATAGATTTTTATGTATTTTATAAAACTCTAAACCCACATAAGATTATATTTATAGGCTTAATACTCCAACCATAATCCTTGTATAATTAGAGCCCTAGTGCAACTCTTAATCGGCCCAAGAAAACCTAAATTATAACCTATGTCGACTAAGACGTGAATTTTAATTTAGTTAAAACCATAACTTAATTTACTAATTAAATCACATAATTCAATTAAAAACAAATAATATAATTAAATCAAGTAATTCAAGTAATCAATTAAACAAATAAAAATACAATTAAATACACTAATTAAATTCTTCAATTAAAACAAATAATACAGTTAAATCAAATAATTCAAGAAATCAATTAAACAAATAAAAATCCAATTAAATATAATAATTATATTTCAGAATTGTCCTTTTAAAATTAGGAGTATTACACACCGTCCCATACCGGTGCATACAATCCTCCAAAAAGTATAATTGATAAAACAGTAATAAGTAACTCATCAACCATACTCCAAGATAAGCATAAATAAAGTCTAATACATATATGACCATTTTATGCATTCATTACAAGACTTAAAAATCATGTTCCAATCCTTTAAATTGCTAAAATAAGGCTAAGCATTTAAATCCTTCAAACAGTCCATAAATTGATGCAACTTACAACAAATTAAAACATCAATTTAATCCAATCCAAGCATAGTTATTTTTAGATAATCCACTACACTTATAACACTTTTGAATTATAATTAAACACTATTAAATCATATACAGAAGATTTGCGAAATTTCAGTAAGCAAATAAATCAACAAATCGATATTCAACATGTAGGCTTTTCTTTTAACTTCATGGGAGCCGACTTTAGAGACCTAGGAGCCGGCTCCATACTCAAGGGAGCCGGCTCTATCTTTGAGGGAGCTGGCTCCCTCCTTTAGAGAGCCAGTTCTCTTTCCCTAAGAACCGTCTTTCCCATTCTGTTCATCTTCTTCGCCTCCAACAATGTGCAAACCCTCTATACTACTTAAATTTATATTCTTAGGGTTCAATCTCTGTCCCAGATTAATTATAAGACATTATTATGCATCAACAACATAAATTAAACACAAGTTTAAAACCAACGACAACAAGGTTTAATTAGAAACTTCAATCAACCACAAACCAGTTTAATTCAACGCAATTAAATACAGTTCAAACATGCTTAAAAGATATATTTTAACGTCAATTTAAATCCTAGATACTACCTAGGCATGCACCAAACATAGGCCTAAGGGAAGGAGTTAGAATAGGAACTTGCCTTCGGTTTCAGTTTTGAAACCTTAAACCACCGTCTCTAAGTTTTCCGACAGATTCTAGACTGCCGTTTAACACCTCCGTCGCTCTTGGTTCAATCTAGAAGCAATCCCTTCCTTCTTCCTTTAGCCTCCCTAGTTATCTCTTAAGTCCCTCTCTGTTTTCCTCTTAAGCTTCCCTCTATTTTCCTTTCAACTCTCTTTGTACGTGAATAGGGTATTCCCAACCCTAGACAGATGTACTTATAAATTTATAGGCTTAAGAAAGCCATAAACCCTAATCCTAATTATGCTCAGAGAAGGAAAAGAAAAACAATTAAATTTATAACTAAGTCGGCTATACCAAATACATGATTACCTAGACATGTAAAACCCAAATTATATTTTAGTAATTAATAAAACTAATTGAATCAAATAAACCAATGAATACATTTAAATAAAACATATAATTCAATTACACCATTTAAACAATTAAAATAATTAATTCAATTAAATAAAATAATTAACTCAATTAAATAACAATAAGGTAAAACAATTAGGCAAATAAGCAAATAATCAAATAAAAATGCAATAAAAGAATAACTAAAATGCTGAGCCTATCCTTTTAAAAAATTGGGGGTATTACAGAATGTTGATGAGGCTCTTCAAAATTCTGATTAGCTTACGGCTATACAAGAAGAATTGATTCAATTTGTGAAGAATGATGTTTGGGAATTAGTGCCTCAACCTAATGATGTTAATATCATAAGGACCAAATTGATCTTTAAAAGTAAACTTGATGAACATGGTTTTATGATGATAAATAAAGTTAGGTTAATTGCACAAGGATATACTCAAGTTGAAGGAATTGATTTTGATGAAACTTTTGCACCTATTACTAGACTTGAGTCTATTCGATTTCTTTTCACTCTTGTATGTCACTTTAAATTCAAATTGTTTCAAATGAATGTTAATAGTGCTTTTCTAAATGGTATTTTACAGGAAGAAGTTTATGTAACACAATCAAAAGATTTTATTGATCTACATAATCCTGATTTTATGTTTCATCCTAAAAAGGCTCTTTATGGTTTAAAGCAAACACCTAGAGCATGGTATGAGAAGTTAAATTCTTATCTAATGCACAAGGGCTTCAGAAGAGGATGAGTAGATAAAACATTGTTTATTTTCAGGAAAGGAAAAGTTTTTTTGTTGCTCAAATATATGTGGATGATATTGTTTTTGGTGCTACATATGATAACCTTGTTCATACTTTTTCTTAATATATGAGTAATACTTTTGAAATGAGCATGGTTAGTGAACTAACTTTCTTTCTAGGTCTCCAAGTGAAATAACTTGATGATAGGATTTTCATATCTCAATCAAAATATGCAAATGAACTAGTTAAGAAGTTTGGTATGAAAGATTTAAAGTATGTTCAAACTCCTATGAGTACTTCATCCAAATTGGATAGAGACTTTGATCCTAACAAGATTGATCATTTCTTGTATAAGAGTATGATTGGTAGCTTGTTATATTTGGCAGTAACTAGGCCAGATATTTCATTTAGTGTAGGTGTTTGTGCTAGGTATCAAGCTGATCTTAGAGAACAACATATTCTTGCAGTCAAGCGCATTATTCGTTATGTCAATAGTACATTGAATTATGGATTGTGTTATTCTTCTGAGTCTAACTCTGAGATTGCAGGCTATACTAATGTTGATTGGGCTGGCAACAAGGATGATAAAAAGAGTACTTCAGGTGGTTGTTTCCATGTTGGTACTAACCTTGTTTCATGGTACAGCAAAAAGCAAAATTGCATATCTTTATCATCTTGTGAAGCTGAATACATTGCTGCTAAAAACTGTTGCACACAATTGTTTTGGATGAAACAGATGCTTCTGGATTATAGAGTTGATCAAGGTACTATTGCTATCTTTTGTGATAATACTAGTACAATTAATATTTCAAAGAATCCAGTTCTACATTCTAGGACTAAGCACATTGACATTCAACATCATTTTCTTATGGAACTTGTTGAACAAAATTTCGTGTCTTTGGAAAAAGTGCATACTGATCAGAATTTGGCTGATATTCTCATTAAACTATTAGATGCTCCTAAGTTTTCTCATTTTAGGAAATCTATTGGTATCCGTTGTCTTGATTAGATGCATTGCAAAGACATAGTCTAGAAAGGATTTTAATGCATATCTTGAGAGTCTAGATTATGTTTTTGGGAAGTTAAGCAAACCATATTGATTGCGTATGTTGAACACAAGGAGTTTAATGACACATGGATTACATGTGGAAAGCATACAATGGCTAAGAATTAATGAAATTGGTTTTGCTTACTTATTTTGTATAGTAAATGAATCATTGATAGTACATTTACTTGAGATATCATTGTTTTGGTCAAAGATAATGTTGATGTGATTGATAATTGTCTTGGAATTTAAACTTGATTTATATATTTTAGACCAAAAGAGTGAAAAGAAAAGAAAATTGAAAAACAGCTTGGAATAAAAAGTTTTTTTTTTGAAAAAGAAAGAAAAATATTTGTTATTTTTAAAAAATAAAAATAAAATAAAGGTGAGATGGAAAATGCTACCTTTGGGATTTGTCTGAAAGTTACCTTGAATCGAAACAAATGGGAATAAAGGAAAGAACTGGCTGCCCATAAGTGTGAAAGCCGCCAATGTGCCAAAAAAAAAAAAAAAAAAGGGTCTTTTGCACATGTTGATTGTTTGATTTCTAATGGTATGTGATATCATTAATTTATTATCTGAAATCTGAACAATTAACAGATCATATGTTTTTGGAACTTGGTGGTGATTTTACTACACTTACTAAGTTTATGGAACTTAAAAGAATTGATCTTGGTTATTTCTGTTAATATATATAATCTTATGAAGTCTACATTCTCATTGGTTTCAATTTACTAGATTTATATGGTTGATTGCTTCCCACTTCTAAGATTTTTCTTCCTTGAGACCCTTGTTAATTTGTGACAAACAGAGGGAGAGAGTTTAAAATCTTATCATTTAGGGGGAAAGATACTTTTGCATTAAGGGGTAGAAAATTTAATCAACGCAATGTAAATGTAATGCAATGCACGTTGATTGTTATTTTTATGCTTGTCTTTATTTTTTTTTATTAAGCTTCACGAGTAGTTGTGTTTGAGCTAATGTGCAAATTACAGGTTACTACATGTGTTGAAGCTTCATGAGGTTCAAGAAAATTTCCGCGTTTTATTTCCTTTAACAATCATTATAATTTACTTTCCTACTTGGATAGATTGCTGAATTGTTTTTAGGGTTTTGTCATGAAATTGCCAAAGAGGGAGATTGTGAGATATATATTTTGTAATTGGCTAATTTCATTATCAAAATAAGTCCGATCGAGTTGTAATTTTTCGGTTCAAAATTTTCAAGATTGAAGATCGGATGCAGAGTTGAAGAAGTTCAAGTGTTTATGATATACTACACTCCGAGATGATGAGAACAATATTCTAAGAAGTTTTGAGAGATAGTGAGTACATTTAGGAAGGGTTTTGAAAGGTTTGGAACAAGTTTTTACATTCTGTCCATCTTGAACTGGTTCAAGATTTATCAAACAAGTTCAATATCAGTAGAACTGCCAATGTTTCAAAACTGATAATCTTGAACTGGTTCAAACGGGCTGAACCGGTTCAAGAATCTGAGGGATTCTTTACTGGTCTTCTTAAACTAGTTCAGCCCCTCTGAACCGATTCAAGGTCTCCTAGTAATATTCTAATTTTCAGTTTCCTTTTTCTAAATGTTTCCTTTTTTATCCCAACTTCTTTCCAAGTCCTATACAAAAAAAAAAAAAAAAAAAAAAATCATATTTTTAGAGGGATTAGAACTTTATAAACTCTATATAAACCTTGTCATTCTTATAAGTTTAATTCATGGCTTTAAAGAAAATCAATTCTATATTTTGAGAAAGCCTTTTAGAGAGAGAAAATTCAGAAAATCAAATTTGATTATTCTGAATTTATTTATGAGAGCACACACATATATTCATGAGTAATTTAGTGGTGTTGTTCTCTATCTCATTAGAATTGGAGCTATATTAAAGATTCAGAGATTCCGAATGAAGAGCATGATTAATTATTCTACATCAAATTCAGATCTTGAAAAACAGGAGTAAAAGCGATCACACTTTGAAAGGGTTGGAGCATTCGAGGAATGTTGTCTGATCTACCTGCTACTCTTCTACAAATATCAAGCATAAGCCTGAGGTCAAGTTGTTGTTGGACGGGGAGTCGCAAAACCAGAGGATTGTCAACAATTGGTGTTTGGTAGAACGATAGGGTGTGAGCCAGAATCAAAATTTGGTGTACTTTGTTTCAAATATAGTAGATCGGTTTACTTTGGACTGAATAATCCATGAGATTTTTCCCATGCAAACAGTTGACGTATTTTACCAACTGGGATTTCCTCGCTAAAAATCCTGGTGCAATCTCTCTAAACTTTTACTTGCTTTACTTTACAGTACTTATATTTGTGATTGTGAATGTTTAAATTGATTATATAATTTAACCAATCATAAATTGAGCAAGTTGACCCAATAATCAGATCTAGGTCATTAAAGGAGTTAATCACAATTAAAATCAACTAACTGTTTTCGCACCCCGCGTAACTCTATTTTCGCACCATGTGCCCATAGTCCTCATGTCCCTTTACTCGATTCAGAGCATAAAATAGAGTACAAACACAACAAATCAAATCAAATCAAGCAATGCATCACCAATATAATGATTGCTGTAATACCCCTAATTTCAAAAGGATAGTCCTGGTATTTAATTTAATGTTTTAATTGAATTTTTAATTGTTTAATTGTTTATTAATTGGCTTTTTGTTTTGCTTCAATTTATTAATTGGCTTTTTGTTTTGCTTTAATTGTTTATTCATTCAATTATTTTTATTTGTTTATTTATTTAATTTTTTTTTTATGTAATTGTGTTAATTATTGATTTAATGGTATGAAATTATTTAATTAAAAGTAATTGTTTTCTAACTTCACGTTACAGTAGGGTTGGTTGCATATATGGTATACACATAAGTAGCCGTCATGTTTTTCACCTAGATTGTGTTATGGGCCGAGTAATCTGATTAGGGTTTAACTAAGTCTAGGGTTAGTGTGTTCTATAAATACTTATCTAAGAGGTCTGCCTAGTGTAACACCCCCACATTTTTCACGCATAAGTTGATCAGGCTTATACACGAAAAACGAGGGATATCAAAAACAATTGGCAATATACAAGCATGGAATACAATATGATGATAATAAAAGAATTTAGACAAGAAAGGAATACTAAATAATACAACATCCATCCATCCTTTATTTAATACAGTACTTCATTACAACTTGGAAATCCTATATCAAGGATCCCTAAATATAACCCTGAGAGTTCAACGTCAAAAGTAAATAAAAACTGAAACTGAAGTAATACATAAAACTTCTACCCTGAACTGGATCGTAAGAGTAGATGAGTTCGGATGGTGGTACCACACTGCTAACCTTAACCTTGGAACGGGTACTGACCGTATCCTGAAATAACAACAATGGTGGGTCAACCCCACGAGCAAGTCCTCTCTACTATGACCCAAATCAGATAATCAAATAAATTAATCATTATAAATCGGTTGAGTACTATATCTGTATACATCCTAAGGGAACTATCCCATGTATAACATGACCTCAACCAGAATAGACGGTGATCACTTAGACTCACACTAGGTGGTTAAGTGTCGCCTTTCCCTACCCGGGAAATCAGCTATTATACATGGTGCACGGTACTGACAACATAGACTATAACGAACTACACAGTGATAACACCTCTCAAAGTACTGATGAATATACTGAGTATATCAATTAGGCAACACATGCCAACAATATTAATAAATATACCGAGTATGTCGATTAGGCAACACATGCCAATAATATTAAACCACATACCCCGACAGCCACACATCTGTCTATCGCAACGAATGCATAGGGTATAAATGAGTCTAAACTTATTAGCCAGCTCACATGGTTCTATATGGCAACTCATCCATATAATATAAATGTGACATAATTAAACAGTCCATTTATTTCCTGAAATGCACACAGCATAATAATCATGGTTTGTATATCATTAACAACATAAATAATCCTGCAATGTATAACGGACAATTTATTTGAATTAAAACCATGTAATCATTTAATTTTAACATTAATGATTTAATACTGTTTAATAAAATAATAACACAATTAATGATTAACAATGTCATTAAATTAACTACATCCGTTTAATGGTGATCTGTATTGAAAACGATACAATTAATATTTAAAAATATTAATCGGTCATAATAATAACTAACGGTTAATAAAATAATAATTTAATGTCCCGTTAAACCCGTAAGTACCAACCATAGGCCTAAAAGTGCAAGTTTAAGGTTCTGGAAATTACAAAACAGGCCCTAGGGGTATTCTGGTAATTTCCAGCAGCTGACCGGCCCTTCACGCGCCCCCACGCGCCGCCCTAAGCTTCCCCACGCGTAGCCCTATGTTTTCCACTCTCTCACGCGCCTCCACGCGCGTCTGGCATCAGCCACGCGCGCTCCCACGCGCGTCTGGAGAGTTCCACGCGCGCGCACGCGCTCCCACGCGCGCGTTGATGGCTTCCTGCTGACGTGGCGTCCTCCGGTTGGTTGGCTGCATCACCTTTCCTACATGCGCGCCACACCGGATCAATCCACCTATGCTCCTTTCATCCTACGGCTGATGATTAGCGCGCACCATCATATGGTGTCCCGCGCTACACCAAATCAATCTAAGGATTCACAACCCATCTAATGGCTGCCGATCCATGCGCATGCTTGTTACAATACACCGCAACACACCAGATAACTCCGGTCACCTTCCTCACTGCCGGTGGCCGGAAAACTCGCCGGAGTCTCGCCGGAAATTACAGAAAATGCCCGGAAAATTCCTAAAAATTCTAAAAAAATCCCTAATGCCTTAAGGAAATATTTTTAGATATTTTGAACATCATAGGATAATAACTAATTATATACCATCCTAAATAATTAAAAATTCATTAATTTAATAAACTAAAAAAAAAATCATTTAATAAAATTTAAGCATGCTCTCAGTGCCC